GACGTGGGAGCGCAGGTGGGCCCATTGCCCCACCCCATAGGGCAACGGCGACATCGGCACGGAAGGCGGCGCCCAGACGACGGCGGTGACGATCGCTTACAAGGAGTTGTTCAAGGACTTGTCCAACGTGTTCGCGGCGGACGAGCAAGTGGAGCGCTGCTCTCGTGCGCTCCAGTCCAAGATAGCGGCCGTGGACCTCGGCGTGAAGCACGAGATGTTAGCAGATGCGTTGACCACGTGGAATGATGGTGATAAGGAGTTGCCTCACCGTCTGAAGGATGCGTTACACAGCTGTCGCATGAAGGCCCTGCCCGAGAAGCTGCAGGAGTCGTGCAACTCGTTGTTCACCTCCATCATTGTCGACCTCTTCAAGGACGGGGTCGACTGGACTACGAAAGAAGGCTTCCTGTTTGAAGTCTTGGAGCTCTTAGCGCCGAACGTGCCGTGTTCATCGGTGGATGCTTCAACGGGTGTGGCAGCGTGGCTGGGCGCTGCTTGGCGCGTGGCGCGCGTCCAGACAACGCTCGCGCAGGCGGAGCACCACGTGGAGGAGGGTTTGCAGGATACTACGCCTGCCGACGTCGAGCGCCACGCCAGGGAGTTGACTCGGGCCGTCCAGAAAGCGAACCACAACGCCCGCAGCACTGCCCTTGAGAAATTGCACGTTGGCGCTTCGCTGCAGGTGGCTGACGCCGTGAACTCTGCGAGCGACCTTGTCCAGAGGGTCGGGGCGAAGATCGTCGGCGCCCTGTGCGAGAAGACAAGGCTGGACTTCACGAACCTGAAGAAGAGCGCTGAGGAGGCGGCTGGCGTCGCTGAGTTCAAGAAGGAGTGCGACAACTGTACGACCCCCAATGCCGCGCTCGACCTCTACCGCCTCGGTCTGCACGAGGCGCCCGTCAACGAGTGGCTCGACCAGACGTGCACCATCGAGGGGGCCTTGACGACAGTGGCGGGCAAGGCGACAGAGTACTCGCTGCCAAGCTACTCCACCGAGGCGACCGCAGGCATCACCGAGGAGATCGTGGTCATCCGCGCGCTCTGCATGATCGCAGAGCTCCTGAAGGCGTTCGGCACGGAGTCGCTCCAAGGTAACAAGATAGTCATGCGCAACAGCTGCATGAATACCCAGTCCAAGCTCAGGAAGTTCGGCATCCAGCCTGAGTCACTGCCGCGCGTCGTGGTGTCGCGGTACAGGGATGCGCTCAAGATGCGGTGATCGAGTACTGAATCAGTTTGCCTTCGACCCTGCTGAACTTTTGTGGGTACCAGGGCCTGCGACGACAGGCCCGCGCCCCTGCAGCGTGGCGACCAGCGCTGCGTCACGGGCCCGCCCACGATGGGGCACGGTCGCGCACGGCCGCGGCGCGGGGCCGCGTGCCGAAGGGTGAGACAGGATCTGTGGATGTAACACTGCCTGCGCCAGTGTTGGGAAATAGTATCCGTGATTTGTTCGTGCCCCCCTGTCTCGAGGAAGGGGGGCGTTGCCCCTGAGGTCTGCCTGATCAGGTGCGGTGCGCGAGAATGTCTATTCATATGTATGTTCTTGATGGTTACACAGCATGCCCGTGCTTCCCATTGTGTGTCCTTCGTATTCGTGGGCTGTCGCCCTTCTCCGCCTGCCCCACACCCAAGGGTCTTGGAGCAATGGGTCGGCGTTCGGCGTCGGATTGGCCACTTGCAGGTGGTTTCTGTTGATCTGTATGGGGCGCGGCCGATTCAGGACTCGGATCTTGGAGCCCACTGTGTTTCGTTAAGGGCCTCGGTCTTGGGGCCCCGCGCTGGATTTGCACTTCGGCGCGGGGCACTGGGTGACGGGCCTCGGCGTGAAAAGCCGCGGCCAGTATTTCAATGGGGGATTCCTTGCGGCCTCTGGTAGCGTGATCTGGGCATCGGGGATTGGTGTACAGGTTTTCTCTGGGGTTGCAGCCCGCGGACGCTACGGTGTCAGGGCCTCGGCTCTGTGGGGCCAGTGTTTTTGCTGTCACTTCGGGCCTCTGGGCTCTGGGCCCCTCTTGAAAGACTAGATCGGTTTAGTCAATTTCTTGTTTTCCGAAATCCTCCAGCGCAAGATCCCACCGTGCACGATTGCACCCGTTTGGGGAGGTGTTTCGGTAGCACCTGGAACAATAACACAAACACATTCGAAGTGGCCTTATCCACTTCTTACGATTACTGCTGCACTCTGCCCCGAAAAGGTTCATCGCTCGCACAATGCGTGGGGCGATTGGAAAAAAACATTGGTTTTATGATGTATGTTTAGACTATTTTCTGAGTATTCAGCATAGGCGTTTCCCCCCCCCCTCCTATATTTTTAGAGTATTTTTCATATAATTATTGTTTTGCAGACTGTAGCGGTCATCGGGTAATATAATGCTAGACATCCGCCTGGGCAACCTGGACACGTGCAAACAAGCGTCTCGATCGAGATTTCCTCGACACATCCCCATGCTAGACATCCGCCTGGGCGACGAGGACGCGTGAAACCAAGCGTCTCGCTCGAGACATCCTCAACAAATCCTGGCGCTAGACCTCTGCCTGGGCGACCTGGAGGCGTGAAACCAAGCGTCTCGCTCGAGACGTCCTCAAGACCTGGGCACGTGAAAACAAGCATGTCACTTGAGAGATCCTCTGAATCCAGGCCCCCAGGAGAGCACAATACATAACACAAAACAAGCGTTTCGCTCGAGAGATCCTCAACAAATTCTGAAAAACAAGCGTTTTGCTCGAGACATCCTCAACGTTTTAATTCGCCGGCCCTAGGCGACCTCGTTATTTATCGCAAAAGAAATTCGCCGGCCCTACAACCGTCAAATCCGGGGGGAAACCAACTAAAAGAGAACCCTGGGCTCAGGCCCTTTCCGGGAAAAAGCTCCAGCGAAGGCCCCTGCGGCTTGCGCTCACATGCGTCCCGCGCCACGCAGTACGGCGCGTCGTGGCCCCATAGGGACGTCCCGCACCACCACATTGGGCGCTTCGTGGCCCCATAGGAAGCTCCTCCACCAAAGGTCCCAATGGCTGTGATCACATGCGTCCCGCGTCACCCAGTACGGCGCTTCGTGGTCCCATAGAGAAGCTCCACCGAAAAACCCAGTGGCTGTGATCACATGCGTCCCGCGCTACCCAGTGCGGTACGGCGTCTCGTGGCTCCATAGGGGAGCTGAACAGAAGGCCCCAGAGGCTGTGATCACATGCGTCCCGCGCCACCCAGAACGGCGCCTCGTGGCTGTGATCACATGCGTTAAGCGCCACCCAGTATGGCGTTTCGCGGCCCTACAAGAGATCTCCACCGAAGGACCCAATGGCTGTGATCACATGCGTCCCGCGCCACCCGGTACGGCGTTTCGTGGCCCCATAAGGGATCTCAACCGAAGGCCCCAGTGGCTGTGATCACATGCGTCCCGCGCCACCCAGTACGGCGCTTCGTGGCCCCATAGGGGATCTCAACCGAAGGCCCCAGTGATCACATGCGTCCCGCGCCACGCAGTACGGCGCGTCGTGGCCCCATCGGGGAACTCCACCGAAGGCCCCATAGGCTGCGATCACATGTGTCCCGCGCCACCCAGCCCAGTACGGCGCTTGTGGCCCCATAGGGGAGCTCCACCGAGGGCCCCTACCCAGTACGGCGTTCCGTGGCACCAAAGGGAGCTCCACTGAAGGCCACAGTGGCTGTGATCACATGCGTCCCGCGCTACCCAGTACGGCGTTTAGTGGCACCATAGGGAGCTGAACCAAAGGCCCCAGCGGCTGTGATCACATGCGTGTCCCCCCGCCCACTTCGGCACACTTCCCATGCGTTTCGTGGCCCCCTACGGAGCTCCACCGAAGGCCCCAGTGACAGCGTTCACATGCGCCCCCCCCGCCCATTTCGGTATACCCCTCACGCGTTTCGTGGCCCCGTACTGAGATTCGCCGAAGGCCTCAATGGCGACGTTCGCATGGCGGCCCCGCTCCAATTTCGGCACGCACCCTTTCGTGGCCCCATGTGGAAAGCCACTGGAAACCCCAATGGCTGCGCCCGCATGGCGTCCACACCCCATTTCGCCACACCCGTTACACGCTTCGTTGCCCCATACGGATATCCACCGAAAGCGATACCCACAACGGCGATGCTCACAACTGCTGACGTATGGGCCCTTCGCCAAAATAATTGGAGCACGTCGACCGCAAAGAGGAAGAGGAGAAGGATGATGGGAATGACAAGGGAGCGGAGGACGAGAGCGTGGACGAGGACGGTGACGAAGCTGGGATGTTGCTGCGGGGCTCGTGTCCCACCCGTTTTGCCAACTGTCATCGCTGGCGCCTGTCAACACAAAGGCGCTCTAGCATCTGTCCAAATGTCCAAAATTTGGGCGTCCCAACAAGAAACAAACAAAATTTGGGTGTCCCAATGCTACGTGCGTGTACGGAGTGGGCGTGTTAGAATGCGCTGTCGTCTGCCAATCCCCTCCCCGCGCGCACCCATCGAACACCGCCCCTTTCGAAATTGTATTCTGGCTGTCGTTGTGGCCTCCACACTGCCAAGATGGCCTCCAAGGCGGCTTCCAGGACAACCAAGACGACAACAAAACAGCTCAAGGTGGCCCAAGACAGCCTCCCAATAGAGCCACAAGACGGCTCAAGACAGCCCAGGAGGGCCCCAAGACGGTCCAGGAAGCTCCCAAGGCAGCCCGAGAGAGCTCGAATAGGCCCTCCTGGAGCTTAGTGGGCCCTGGAAACGACAAAGCCTTTTTTTACGGGTTCCGTTTTGCCGTTGTCTTGCCGGTTCCGACGCCGTTTTTTTACCGGTTCCGTCGCCGTTCTTCTACGGGTTCCCGCTCCGGTTCCACTCCTGGAGCCGTTTTTGTTGCCGTTTCCGGTCGCCGTTTTTGTACCATTTCCATTTTCAAGGGACACTTTTTCGGAAACGGTGACAAAACGGCCCTGCCGTTTCCGGGGCCCACTAAGTCCTGGAGAGCCCGAGGCGGCCAAAACCATTGTGTGTCCGTAGGTCATGTTTTTTTTTGTTCGCCGTCTTTGACCTCCTTGGGCCCCTCGCCAGGCACCGCACGCTCGCAAGAAGGCGCGGCTAGACGGCGCATCGGCAGGAATTCCGCTTGAAAAAAGGCTAAGGCGAATCTGAAAAAACGAGAACGCAAGCGCGCCAGAGCACAGACACCGTACACATACCAATGCTTAGCAGCGGATGGCTTTACAGCCTCGTGGAAAACGCGCAGTGGGAGAGGGGGATGGAAGGGGTGTGGAGAGGGAGGGAGGAGGAGGAGGAGGAGGAGGAGGAGGAGGAGGGCAAGGCCTGGCCCTCAGGGCGAGCGCTCCGAGGGCAGAGCCTCGAAGCGGAGCCCCGGGGAGCCCCAGAGGCACGACGCGGTCGCGCAGGCGCCGCCGAGCAGGCAGCCCGGCACCCCCTCCGCCGCCGCGCCTTCACGGCGCCACGCGCGCGGAGCCGTCGCCGCAGGCACAGCCGCAGCACCACCTCTGACGCCTGAGCCTGATGGCTCCGTGGCCGTGGCCGCAGCCGCACCTTCATCTCGACACGCCCCTGGCCCTCCGACGGTCCCAGCGGGCCCCTCGCCGCGCACCTTGGCGGCCCCGTCGGCGTCGCGGGGCTGCCGCGTAGTCTCTTCGCGCACGCCCTTGGGGCCGCCGGCGGGCTTCGGGCGGTCCCGGAACACTGACATCAGCACGATGCTGGCGAACATCAGCATACAGCCACACGCGGTTGTCACGCTCGGGATGTTGTCATATAGTGTCACCTGCAAAATGTATCCAAAAACCATGCACGCGGAATTGTTGATTATCGCGCTCGCGGCTGCTGGGCACAACTGCGAACCAGCGCTGATCAGAAGGGTTGCAAAGCCCGTTGATATCACAAGCAAAGTAAACCAGCCAATGGCGCCTGAAGCTGAGGCAGTCAATGTGCCCGACGGGTGCTCATTAACAAGTCGCGTCAAGGGCAGAACCATAAACACAATTGATGCCTGTGCAACCGTCGCTAGCGTCAGCAGCGATGGCGCAGCTGTGGGGCACTTTCTGGACGCAATAAAAATGCCTGCTTTGCTCATGCCAGATAAAAGCGCTAGAATGTGTCCAGGCCATGCAACATCATCAATGGCATCGCCGCTGCCAAAAAGGAACGGAGGCTTGGAAACAAGTACGGCACCCACGACAGCACAACAAATCGCAAGCCCGTGCACGTATCGGACCACCTCTGACAAGAACATCCGCCCGAGTAGGGCGGCCGCCACAACATTGACACTCTGCAAGGCAGCTAGGTCGCCCAGAGGAGCTCCAATCTGAACAGCAATAACACCAAAAAGGAACTGCCCCCATCCGAACGCACCTCGAAGAACTACCCACTTCCGCTGTGGAGCCTCAGGCCAAGCCTCTGTTGATAACCACACATGGGCTCCTAGACAGCACGACAGCAGTAGAAACGCAAGACTCTGCATCCGAAAATACGGCAGACGCTGCTCCTCCTTGACAACTCGTCCCAGCAGAAATTGCACCGTGACAGGGACAGCATGAATGCCCATAAGCAGCATACCCAGAGTGTTCCTGGAAATGCTCGTGAAACATGCCATCGCTCGCGGAGTACAAACTGCAGGCGTCCTGCACAACCTGTCGCAACAACGACCTACGCCAGAACGTGTCTGGCTAATGTCTTGAGCCAAACTGGCTACGGACTGTGTGTCCGCAGGTCATGTTTGAAAAGTTGGTTGAGGCTCTCGCCTGCTCGGGCTCCCGACCACCCAAGACGGCCCCAAGAGGCCTCCAAGATAAGCCCAAGGCGGCCCAAGGGGCCCCCAAGAGGGCCAGAAGTCAGACCCCCCCAAGCCCAAAGATCGCCCAAGGGGCTCGGAGAGAGAGCCCCAAGAAGGCCTTGAAGCGCCCCAAGAGAGCAACACGACAACCCGAAGAGTCCTCTTGGACTGACATGGGCGGTCGGACACCCAAACACGCCAGAACCTCAAAACCAATCAACCGCATAAAGAACATCAATGGTTTTGGCCTCCCCGACCTCTTGGGCCGTGTTGGGGGCCTCTTGATCTGTCTTGAGACCTTATTGTGAGGGGGGCATCGTACGACGGGTAACACGTGCCCGCTGGAAGTATAACGAGTTGCCACCCTGAATTCGCAATTGGTCGGCCCCCATGATTTCGGCCTTGTAATAGTCCGAGGCTTGCAGGCGTGCGTTCCAACGATTGCGGACTGAAGCGCCAACGTTAATTGAGCATCCGTCTGTATCTGCTTCGGAGCCTTAGTTGTTTTGCCTAGGCCAAGGCCGACACACAGCACGAGATGGTTTTAGACGGGGGGACACCGAGCAACATCTAATCTCACACTCGAATTCGCTGAGGATTTCCGAACAAGAAGACGAACGGATTCCCATAACGAATCTCGAAGAGAGATTCCGAGCTGTGTCCGAGCTGAGCATTACCACATTGGATGTGGAGGACTTTTTGACAGCAAGTTTCCAGTCGAGTACCAATGCAGTGTATGCAAATGTATGGGCGAAACGACCACGAAGCGGGACCGCGAAATTGTGATCAGGTGGGCATCAAGGTCGGAAGTCATCGATCGTCATGGCTAGCGACGTCTATACATTTCCGTGTTGGAGATGATCTCGCTGGGTAAAGTTGCGTGTATCCAGCTGCCTGCGGCAAGCCCCGCCACCGCGCCTGTGCAACAGCGCAGCATGAAAGAGGCTGAATCTAGGAACAGCGCGACTCCGACGCTTAGTCTGCATAGGGGCGGGTCGTGATCCCGACCTCGTCTTCGTCCGCGCGGTAGGGAGGAGGAGGAGGAGGAGGAGGAGGAGGAGGAGGAGGAGGAGGAGGAGGAGGAAGAGAGGGAGAACAGAGAACACGAGGATGAGAGGCTTCTTGAGTCTTCTTCTGGCTTTCAGAGGGCCTCCTGGGAGCTTCCCGCAAGCTTCCGGGGGGCCTCTTGGGGGCCTCTTGGGGACTCTTTGTCCGTCTGACGTCTATGGAGGTCGCCTTGGGGGCCTTCCTAGGCCGCGTTGGTGCCCTCTTGGACCGGTCCACGGCCGTCTTGGGGCCTTCGTTGGAGCCTTTTGGGCGATCGTTGGGTCCTCTTGGGCCGACTTCGGGCCCTCTTGGGTCGCCTTGGAGCCATATTGGAGGCCTCGTGGAAGCTTCTTAGGCCGCCTTAGGCGGTCGAAAACCCGAACAGGTGAGAACCTCAAAATCTTTCAAACACCTAAGGGACATCAGTGGCTTTGGCTTCCTCGGGCTCTCCAGGAGAGCCTCGTGGAGCTCTGTGAGCCATCATCTTGGCGTCGTCTTGGTTGCCTTGAAGCCGTCCTGGAAGCCACGACATTTTCTTTTTGACCACTCCGCAACCTGGAATCTGCAGCCTGCCCGGTCAGTCGGCCTTCTCCTCTGGGGGAACCCTTCCCAATCGCGCCCCATCCTGCTGCGCAAAGGAGCAACAACTACACAAACACAGACTTTCGGAGATCCGCGCGGATGTCATGGATCGGCGCTGGACCTCCTCCCCGGCGCGCGGAGCGCGCCAGGGGCGGCGCAGGAGGCACAAGCAGGGGTGCCCAACGCCGATCAGGGAGAACCGTGCGGACCTCCGAAAGCCTGCGTCTGTGCAGATGTGTTTCCTTCGGCTGCTTACTGTTCCTCTGCATCTCGTCCAGGCCGATGCAGAAGAGAGGCCACACTCCAGTGGAGGGCACGAAAAGGATGAGCAACCCACACATCTGCAGGGCGAAACTCAACAGACCTGGTATCAATCGGCCACTATAAGTGATGGCTTTCGCATCGAAAGCCGCTGCGTACAGCGGGGCAGCGATAGCGTTGGCGCCGTAGCTGCAGAGAGCTGTCAACGCCATGTACTTCGAGACCCGATCCTTGAATATTGCAGAGCTCATCGTGTTGGTGAGGGCATCCCAACCGCTGGCGGTGCTGGAAAGACAGTGCGAGGACACTGCAACTGCACAAAGAACATAGACGCTCGACGGTCCACGCGGATGTCTTGGATCTGCGCTGTGCCCCATTCCACTAGGGCTCCCAACTTCGCGCTTCGCGCTGCGCGAAGCGCGAATAACTTCGCGCCCTCGCGCCGCCCTCCCAAAGGGAGAGAAGAGGAGGACGAGGAGGAGGGGGCGAAGGAACGAGGACCGCGGAGCGCGAAGCGCGAAGAACTTCGCGCCCTCGAGGGAGCCCAGCGCGGATCCAGGAAATCCGCGGGGACCGTCGACAGTCCCTGTTTGTGCAGTGGTTCGTCCCTCGAATAGTACTGCGCAAACCACGCCAGCCGAGAGAAAGGCTGCAGCAGGAAGAGGGCCGCGGCACACAGCTTGTACAGGCACACCGCCACGAAGCCGGGCCTCATCCCGAGGCGTGAGCACACCCTCCCCACCAGCGGCGTGCTCAATGTGTGGATGAGGATGACGGGGATTGTAACCAGCCTCGAACTTGTCCCTGCCCCTAGCATTTAGAAGCGTTAAAGGCAAGGACAAGCTTAGGGACTTTCCCTCAGAGACTTGGAAATCCTCAAGATTACCATCGAGATGAGGCGATGCCGACGCTAGGGATAGGGATGTGTTCCAGGCTGGTGGGATTGCCCACGCGATCACCTCCGCGGCTGACATGCCGTAGTAAGACATGCTGAATGGGAAAATGAGATTCGCGAACCTGGCCCGTGCCACGGCGTCCACCAGCAGATATCGAAGGATGGGCAAGTCAGACAACGGCAACTTTCCGGCCCGACCAACATCCGCTCGGTCCCGGCATTCCTATAGTCCTACCACGAAATGCTGTCAGAACCCAAACAGTTTCGAATAACACAAACGATGTTCTTAGAACATAAGCATTATGTGTTAAAACAAGACAGACTCCGCCAGAAAAGTTCTGAGAACATTTCGTGGAACCACGAAAGGACGCTTCGCCACTGCTTGAGTCCCTGGACTCCTCTCAGGGTCCGTCCTGACTCGCTGCTTAAGACGAAACCGAGACGAGGATAAAATCGGGTGAGGGTAGATGGGAGAATTCCTGAGATCCGGCGGCTCTGGAGGATGTCTCGGGCGCCGTGGTCTCCTCATAGCGTTCTGCAACGCTCGAAACGGAACGCTCTGGAACGAAATAACCCTCGTCCTAGTCCCGCCTGGCTTCTCGACGCGGATCCCGCCGTGGTGACGAGAAACCCCCAGGAGCTCCTCAGATAACGAAATGCGCCATCAAAGCCTGTCACCGTCTCTCGACTGCCCCTCCTTCGAGGATAGGCCAGCACCAGCTCCAATCGCCCGACGCGGCGCGTCTCAGCGAAGAGGGCCCGGTACTCGCCTTGGCGCGCATGGTTGCAAACAAAAGTGCGATGCCCAACAGCAAATGCCGTCCCAAACCCGACAGCGGCCATTATTGGACAGGCGATATTCGAGTCTCGAATGTACAACGTCCACGGCGGCACCGACAGCGAGTCCGGTGCAAAATGAACAGGAACTGCTGTCGGTCTTCGTTGGAGGCGGCCGGGGGGTCCTGAGCTGGTTGGGCACCGAAGAAATCGTTCAAAAGCGGGGGATGAAATCAGATCCGCTCAAAATCAGTCCCGGACCCCTCCTGCGGTCTATCTAATATAGTTCCTCATTCTGTATCCGTCTTTGACAGTCCTGGGGCTCGGAAACAGCCCCAGGATGCCGAAACAGAAAAAAACACTTCGAGCCCAGAATCTCGAATGTCGACCCCACTTTCCTGCTGGCTGGAGCCAATGCTGGGCTACCACAGACCCCAAGCTGGCTCCAATTCGTACCCATCCCTTCTGTGCCACTTTTGTAGAGAGGAGCGAGATGCGGCATAAACATAAACTGATGGCGCTCCGCGCGGATTTCTCGGATCGGCGCTGGGCCCCCCTGGTGGCGCTTCTGGCGCTCCGCGCGCCAGGGAGGGGGGCCCAGCGCCGATCCAAGAAATCCGCGCGGAGCTCCAAACGATTGTGTCTCTGCAGTTGTGTCTTCTGCGATGTCGATGTCGATGTCGATGTCGATTTGTTGTGTCGTATCTGTTCCGATTCCAATCGCATCGATCTTGATCCAGAAGGGTCTTCTTCGAGTTCGATCCCGCTCATGTTTTAACGTACCTCTCCGACTCAAACGAGCATCGCTTATCCGACCTCTACCCCCGTCGGCATGGCCTTGGTCCTACTGGCCGACTTCCCCCTAGATGGGGATATAGGCCATTTCCTTCGCGGTTCGAAGAGTCCAGCACTGACCAAACCACCGCTCCGGACAACTGGAGTCCTTCGATTTCGATCGCCCCGATCGCCCAGCTCGCGGCGCACGCCCGCGACGACGCCCCCGCAGGAAGCCTCGCTGGGGCCGGCCCTCTTCGTCTCGCGGAGGTGCAGCGCCGCCAGGGCGGCCATGCCCAGGTTGGCCGCCAGCACGCAGCTCCAGAGCCCAAGGTAGCTCCTCTTGGCGGCGCGCCGAGGGGGGGGCGGACGGGGAGGGAGAGACGGTCCATGAGACATTTGATAAGCCTTCCCCGAATACACAGAAAACTTCTCAGAAGGCCTGGGAGGCTTCTGAGAAGCCCCGCCGCCTTCTGAGAAGCCTTCTCCCTCTCATTTCCACCCTCAGCGCGCCGCCAAGGTAGGACGACGAGGTCTATACATGTCCACTGCCCCAAGATGGACCAGGCTTGGGGCTGTGGAAATGTCGCTGTAGAGACCTCGTCGCCCCATCTTGGCGGCGCGCCGAGGGGGGAAATGAGAAGGAGAAGGCCTGTT